GGAGCCTGCAAGTCAAGACTCCACTGACATTTATATGACAAACACACCAACGTGCCCGCATACAGATACACACACCTCCACCATCACACCACACCCTTCCAGGCTGTTTAAAACCTGAGACGGATCTCTTGGTTACAATACGAAATACATTGCTTAAGTTCCTGTGGTTATTTCTGTAAGATGATGGATGTGAAGTTGATTTGAGGGTGATGTCGAGCATCCGAAATCATCATTTTAAGTCTTTATGATATAAATTCTTAAGCTTTATGCGTTTTTGAATACACTAAGTTTCACTGAGAAGATAATAAAAACACAATGACCACGCCAGGAAAGCAATAACCCAGTTGGTTTTAATCTAAATAGGAAAATGTGTCTGAGAAAGTCTCACTTTCAACTCAGTTTAGTTACGTATTTTAGAGCACCGGCATCTATCTCATTCAAGTTCTACTCCAAAACGTTGATTAATTGTGACGTGATTTTGATGCCTGAGGTGGGATCATGTGCGAATGATTTTCCTATAAAAACTGAAATTAAGTAGAGTTATATTGGTTGTTTCTACACCTTATTGATTAATAGAAAACTGGAAAATGAGTTTCTGTGAAGTGAGGGTCAGTCACAAAGTCGCCCTGAACACAAGAACGTGTTTTTCTAATCGTTACTTTACATTTGCCTGCGCAGAGTGAGGTGTGAGCGTAGCTTTTTTTTTCACATTCATCTGCTGAAGAGTTTCTCTGTAGACGTGTACCAACGTGTGCGTAACTCACACCGGTGTGACACGGAAACGTGAAGCCTGCAGCGCGCACACCCGAGAAGCAGGAGGCTGCCGGCAGTTCAGTTCATGAACATTAACAATATTTGCATTTTCATGTAGTTATTTAAACGCTATTGAATTTTCTACACACAGAACTACACTCACATTTATCATTCCGAGCTGTATTTTTTGTGTTTCGGGGGGAATCTTTGGTTATTGTGTGCATTCATAGCCGAGGAGTTCAAAAGGCTTATGTGTCTTACTGTATACTGTGTGTACTATTTCAATCATAAATACGAAATTGAAACTGACCGCACCGCTTTAATGCGTTTCAATATACATTCAAATAAGTTTCCCTGAGCTTGTCGAGGGTTATTCTGCCACGTCTATCCTCACACTTAACGCTCGAAATTCATTCACACACACACATAAAAGAGTGGCCTTGTCTGGACTGGTGTGTGTCTATAATGTTGGGGGGGGAAGGGGTGTGAAAGCTGGGAGAGGTGAGGGGTTTAGAGAGCGATCATCTCACCCCTTCCTCTTCTCTGTGAGGGTTCAGCTTGTTGTACACCGCCTCGATCACACTCCGTCTGTAAACACACAAATGGCACACAGCTCGCTGCTCAGAGAGGAGAATGCAACACAACACAGTCGCTGTTCATTTTAGCAAATGTGTATTGATTAACATTTTAATGGAACGAAGACGGAACTGAGTCGATATTGGAGTATCCGCTGTTCATGCTTAAAGAGAATCTCCGACGTGTTTAGAGGAGTGTTATCTGCATGTTTGAGAGTCTTTTAAGTTAACAAGGTTATTCCCACTTAACTTCTTAAAAACAACTAATGATTTCATATCTCCTGGACATTATTATATTACTTTATACACAACATAACATTATTTATTTATCATCTAGATGAAGAAAAGCTCAATCAGAAATCCTTTTACTTTGATATCCTCATCGTTAGTGGTTATTTGCAAAAAAACACAATTTAAACTACGAAAGAAATTGTTTTTGATTGTGTTATTATTTTAATATTTGCTATGATTTAAAAAAAGATTACCGTCGTTAGAAGTTGTATTATTATAAGTTGCTTATAGCTAGTGTTAGGACGTTAAAAAGGTTATAATTCCCTCTCTACCGTCTGAGTTTCACACCAAAACTACATTTTACAAGATTACATTTGAACACATCATGATAAGAGTTACATCTAATACAAATTTTTACTGAATGCAGCTTGAACGCATCATAATGTCTTATTGTCGTATCTGTGTGTGTGTATAAATGCAGGTAAATGTTGCTCCAGGCTGCGTATTTACTTGCTGGCCAGGCCTCCGCCAGGTGGAAGGTTGGGGATGTTCTCTGTGGCAATGCTCCTCAGGACAGACACCAGGTCAGGGACTCCTGCCTCCCCGCAGTTCCCCAGAAGCTCTACACACAAACACAAAGAGGACCGAGGGGGGGTGGGGGTGTGAGAGGTTGTGTTGCACACTGAGGCCAGAAAGATAAACTGTGTATTTTGTTGGTGTGTGTGTGTGTGTGTGTGTGTGTGTGTGTGTGTGTGTGTGTGTGTGTGTGTGTGAAGGTGTGCGTGTGCACGTGTGTTGCATGTGCTGACCCTCAACACGGGTCTCCAGGTACTTATCCAATTCCTCTTCTTTCTTCACAGCCTCCTCCGAGATCTTGGGCGCTCCGGGTAAACACACCAACACCACACTCATGTTGTCCCTGCTCCCCTGCAAGACGAAGGTAGGAAGAGACGGAACAAATGAGACGGATATTTAAGTATGATATAGGATTTTTTGCAATCAAAATGTTCCCGATTCATGTTTAAAATAAATTCAGGACTTTCCCTGTCGATATAGTTGGACTTCAAGTAGCGCTGGTGAGTAACAATGAATGTGAATATAACTTTTGTTTAGTTTACAAGAAAACTCCACATCTGTACAGTAAACACCGCTTACTTTTGAGCTGCTACGTCTATAAAATGAGTTTGTGACTTGGAGACACAGCTCTGCACGTTAAACATATCTTGCATATGGTTTCTCTAATACAGAAACGTTTTATAATAAATGTAGTAGAAACCGTTTTCAACACCTTGCTGAGAAATGCTTTTATCTTTCATACAGAAAGTTACTGGAAGATAAATTTTTGTATTTCAATTTGAGATGCTAGTCATGAATCTGTAAACATTGTTTTTTGTTTGTCCGTCTGTCTCAATGTTGAAAGTTTAGAGTGGAGGCTTAGAACATTATGATGGAGGTATATGACGGCCATTCCAATGCTCAAGTATGTATCATAAGTGGTTGCAGTAATTTTTGCGTCGATACCATTTGTTCCATTTTTAACAACCCTCTTGATAGAATATAGTCAAAAATACCACATTAAGACAAAGACCCTGTAGGTCTAGGAACAGGTACCAATGGATTCTTTAGGTTCTTCTAGTTTTATATGAAACCAGTGTTTATTAGTAGCATCGTCACTAGCTCGAGCTCAAACTGAGCCTCTGAAAAGACGATTAATCAATTAACAAAATATGTGCAGACTAATGCTCTGTTGATCGACTAATTGCTAATTATGAACGTCTTTATAAAAAAGTTTTATGGAATGCATTCACTTACAATAAGTGTATTATAGAAACAGGACGGACACACAGAAACAGACACATATAGAGCTCTGGTCTTAAACCAATGGAGAGTACAGAGTCACAGACATCACAAAAGGCAGCGGAGGAGATTTATTACTTGAGATAAACCATCCAGTGAGGTAAAAATAACTAGGCTGCTGTGCACTTGTTGGTTCTTGGAGTACTCGAGACACAAAATAGGTGCTAAATGCAAGGCAGATGTGGAGTGGTGGATAAATTCAGCTGAAGACAAAAGAGCGGTTATTGCTTTTTTCTTGGATCAATAGCTAAGAAGACCAAAGGGCAGGAAATGATTCATCATCTATGATCTCTCACTGTGAGATGTTAAAGTTTATTGAAGAAACATTAGATAATTTTGTTATCTTGTAATGCAGTTTAACATTATTTCAGTACATTATATTATCAGTAACTTTTGTTCTTTTCTTAAATCTAAGTAGAGGCCAGACTGATGAGGAATGCATTTGATCCCTGAATTGAAACGTTCACCTTCAGCGTACATCATGTGAGAGGAATAGAAGCTTACCTTATGCAGACAGGTGTCCACCACCGAGTTACAGACCTTCTCCAGGTCATCACACACCAGGAGCCGAGAGCGGACGAACTCGCACAGCTCCTCGTTGGACATGACGTCCCAGATCCCATCGCACGCCAGCATCACGAACTCGTCTCCTTCGGCCGCCCGCTCCAACACGCACACCTCGGGCTCGGGGCTCACCAGCTGCTCCGTGGGGCCCTTACCATCCACACATTTGTAGTCGTAGTCCCCCAGGGCCCGGGACACAGCCAGGGAGCCGTTTACCCTCTGGATCATGACCGAGCCGCCAGCGTTCTGGATGCGCTCCTTTTCGCGGGGGTTGCAGGGCTTGTGGTCCTGGGTGGAGAAGCCCACCTTGGTGTCTCGACTCAGCACGGCCCGCGAGTCGCCGCAGTTAATGAAGTAGAGGTGGCTCGGGCTGAGCAGCACGCACACGGCCGTCGACCCGCTGCGGTCCAGGCCCTGCCGCAGGTCAGAGAAGCTGCGCATGTACTCGTCAATGTTCAGAAAGCCCGAGCGGATGCCGTCCTTCACGCCCTCTACGGAGCCGGATCCTGAACTGAAGTCGGCCCCGCCTGAGAGGATGTGTTCCAGCAAGTGGCCGGAGCAGTAGTTGGCCACCCGGGAGCCCGCGTGGCCATCGTAGACGGCAAAGAAGGACCAGTCGGTGAGTCCGTGGGGGAGGCCCACCACAGCTGTGTGGGCGTCCTCCATCTCCACCCGCCAGCCCTGCATGGAGCTCAGGCCATAGCGCAGCCCGTTGCCCTCACCGTGGGCACTATGCTTCTCCGTCTTCGGCTTGTCCAGGAATGCACCCATTGCTGCCTATAGCTGGAGATTAACCAAGAGAAAGAGAAGAGAGGACACAGAGTTAATTACACCAGCAAGGACAAAGAAGATAATCTGACCCTCAAGTCAGCCACTCTTATTCTAACGCACTAGTGTACCATAAATAGTGAAGATTGGTGTACGTGTCGGCCCATAAGTAACAAGAAATTACAGTAGAAATGCTTAATTAGGTTTGATGTCTTACATAGTTTGTCCAAAATACTATAAAATGTTGCTCTT